AGTACCAAATTTCTCCTTTTACATTAATTGTGATTCATCAATCAAGACATGATTGGTGTCCCAGGCTAATGTAGCTAACAGGCAATGAAAGCTTATACCCCACCAATTAGCATTGTGCAAACTGCATGTCTAACACGCTTGCCTCAAAAATGATTACATAATGGTCTGATTGCAGTTGTTTGAGCTAACTGCATATATTTAAGATGACCACAATTGTTATTCACAGTTGTTTCTGTAGCCATTTTAACATTTGGTTGCTAGGAATTTAAAATTTTTATTTAATTAGTTATTAAGATATACAGATGTGTGTGAAAAGAAAATATACTCATTGTTAATTTTATTTCATTTAATGCTTACAATAATGTTTTCTCCAGTACTCAGAGGGGTGAACGCATAGTGAAAGAGTCTATCAAAATTAGAAAATAGTTCACTGCAAACCAAAGAAATATTGTCTGATATCTTCAAATATAACTTCATTGACGCTCCAGAAGAGTGGAATGTTATTCTTTTTGCGAAGTTTTTCCAAGAACTCTGGTGAGTGTAAAACGGCATGGTTTTCAGTACAGAGATCTGCATTTGTTAATGTTTGAGTGAAAATTTGTTTCCTGAGAAAATCAATCAGAGTAAACTGTTACAATGTTGGGAAACACATTGTTTATAGTGTATATGCCAGATTTTGTGTGCAAGTTACCCAAAAAGCTAGGCTATATGAATTTTGTATGTAGGCTGTGTGAATCTGTAGCTGGTTATGTGTACATATACATGTACATGTGGGGGAAAAGCTATTTTGAATGTAATTTTGTAACGTGGAGAACACACAGATAATACAATAGCAATACGTAGGCATTGCACTACTGTTGTATGCACTGCAGATTGGTTTTCTGTATGGTTCAACTTCGAAGGTGAGTCAGTCCCACTGACCCCAAGTGGAGTCCCAATGGAACACTTCTCCAGCCAGGACAGCCAGAACTTTGGAACTTTTAACGGAATTGTTCATCCTAACTGGATACAGATAAGCACGAGCATACATGCGCTACCTGGGTAGTTGCAGGCCCATATTTTATTTTCAGAACTCCTTTTATTCAAAAGCTCTCATTTTTCTATTTTCTTTTAAATGGCCATTCTGTAGTTGTTTTGACTCAGAGTAACCCCTACTTTTGCTTTCACAATCATGAATCAAACAAAATATGAATGTAGTGTGTTTTTATTCGTTGTTGTGGCAAAAACACGTGACTAAAAGAAAGTAGGAACCACATTTGTCGAGGCACATCATGGGTCTTACGGAAACATCAAAAGTTCTAACTTCTGCCTGGGGCTATAGCACCTTTAGGAGCCAGTGGTGAGTAATGTGTGTTTGAGGTCAAGCAATGTCTGCCATAAGTATCGATAATAGGATAAAAAGGGCCAATTTGACCTACAGTTATTTTTCTGACCATTATTTTATCAGCTAAAATTACATGACTGGTGTCAAATGTGGGAAAAAAATACATAACATAGCTAGCAACAGTAGTAGCAGCGATACCTGTCTAAAAAGGCAGTGTGTCTGGATGGATGTACTCAGCGTGGCCAAATGTTTAAAGTTGGATAATGGCTTTCTGCACTGCTTAGTCCCACCTCACTATATACACTTGGGGCAATTTGAAGTAATGTTTAGTGACAGTCCAGGCGCTCAGCCAAAAGCACTGCATTTGTTCTTGCGAAGAGACAAAAAACATAATGAAAGAACTCTCTGGAGTGATTTATTACTTTGAGAGAGTGTAATTAGGTAAAGGTTTGATGTTGATATTACAAATGTGTTGTGCAGTCCTATGTGGCTCTAATATTCACCTTGTGCACGAAAGGCTAATTTGGCTCTTTCATTGTAGATCTGCAAATGTAGCAGATACAGCTATACTGAGTGGAAACATCCCAGTTCAGTTTTTAAAATTGTTTTTATAGTTTAAATAATTGTGCTTTCATGGATAATAAAGCCACACAATCTAAGTAAGATGAATGATTGATTGTTAATCTCATGATAAATACTACAATATAATCATCATTTTTAGAGTGTGCGTAATGTGTCATTCTGGCCTGATTTGTTTTTGGCATATATATATATATTTTTTTATTATTATAATTATATTTTATTAATATAATTATTATTATTATTTTTTTTTAATTATCGTTTTATGGTGTGTTTTAAAATTGGCTTAAGATCAGTTTTGATCAACTTACTTCAGGCATATCAAACTGGGAACCTTCTGGACCAAAGTGCTGCTGAGATTGGCATTTACCCTCATCTTACACTCTGAATTCAGTTAATGAAGGCCTTGCTAATGAGCTGACTCAGGTGTGTTTAATGAGTGTGCAAAAGTCTGCAGTGTTTTGGCCTGTGAGGACTGGAGCCTGACACATATGAATTACTTGATTTAGCTACTGGTTAGTTTAATACTCTGCATTGAAGTAATTTCATTTTTTGTATGTGTGTAGTGATATACAGAGGTGGCTCAATACTGCTTTTTCTGTTCTGATACTGATACAGATACGTTGTGTTGGCCAATAAAGATGCTGGTCTGATATTTGTATTAATATATGTTTACTGCTTTGGTAGTCACTTGCTTCATCCCCAAATGTACTGTCCTCACCCCTTTACTTACAGACTAAATCCTGGAGTTTACAACATTGCTTGAACAATTGATCTGCATTTCCTCTCACTGTCAGCTACAGTTCTAATTTCACATCAAATTAATATTGACCCATTAGTGGCCGGGATTACTATTTCTGCATTTACTTCTATACCAATTTATTTGGCTTTTCCAATTGAGAATTACATCAAGGTGTTTCACATGTTACCTGCACTACAGACATATACCAGGCTACCTATGCTGCTTGGTCTCATACTCATGCAACCTCTTTTGAAAATGAGCTAGCTAGTCTGATGATGCCATTTCATATCATCACTGTCCAATAAAAAACATGTATCTCCATTTTTTTTCTGCATCTTTTCAACACGCTAGCAGTCCTTCATGATGTGTGAAAATTTCATGATGATTGGACAAAAAGAAATGCTTCAAAATCACTTGGAATGAAGCCTCTTTATATTAACTTACATTGAAAGGTAAGAGTGTTTTTGCCCTGTCCCGTAAAGTTAATATTTTGGAGATACTTGTTTTTCTTTGGATAGCGACGATATATTAATGGTGTAATTGTAACTAGGCATTCTTTAACTAATAGAAAAAAATTCTAGGGAGTTAGACAACTTTAATCGCTAACATCTTAGAGAGTTAGAAAGCTAGATACACGTTCAACAGTTCCTTTTAAGCTTATTTAAACAGTCAGAAGTTACTAGCGAGTCATTAACATTCATTTTTTTGTGATCAATGTTTTTTTTTATTTGTTTCCTGTTAATCAAGCAGCATTTTATCACAACATTACAGAACTGCAGGAAATCAAAAAAAACAAAAAAACATCACAAATCTACAGTTGCATTTGACCAGATTAGAATAGCACTAAGTTTTCTGCTTTGTTATTTTTCTGGCTAGATTTGTGACCTTTCCACAAGAACATGTTGTATTATGGATGAGGATTAACCTCAGAAATACTGGTGCTTGTATCACTTAGTCTCACCATGGAAATATGTCACTTCATCTTTGTCAAATTTACCAGGATTGAAATTCGAAGATGAGTCTAAAATTGAGGGAAGTCACCAAACACGCAACAATGTGGGAGCTGAATAAAGAATACACTTTATTTGTGGAAAAATTTCATCAGCTAATGTCTACAGAGTGATGAAATGGTGGATAGGTGAAAATAACTATGATGAAAAGGCTAGATTAGCCATGTTAGCTGGAGATGTTACAACAGCTTGCTGTCAAAAAATTAGTTGGCAAAAATGTAAATGCACACACATACTGGCAGGGAGAGTGCCACGTAGCTGTGATCCGTAGACAATTTCCACAACCACCGGCTCCAATGAGTGAATATCTACTCACTGCTGAGCACTTGCTTTCTCAAATGCCGACAGCTTTTGAGGGGCAACATGAAAACTGTTCCACTGAAAGTGGCTGGAAACAGCACTAGCTTTAAACACAAACTGCCTGTTAGTCAGCAGCAGTGAAATGGTACTTTCCCTCTGGCTACAAGTTTATTCTTTCCTCCCACCTAATTTTTCCTCTGCTTATCAGCTAAGAAACCATCAAAACCGAGATAAAGTTGTTGTTGGAGGTGGTGTAACCCAACAGTGACTGCTTACAGCAGAAAAACCTCGGAAATAAGGAAAAAGGCCATACAGTTAAAAGGCCCAGTAAAGCGGAAGGTTGCCATGACTCGTGAGTATATTTTGTACATGATTGCGATGGAATGGCACTCTTGCTCAGTGGCAGAAAGTAAACTTGAAGCGTAATAGCCACATGCTCACATTTTAGGCCCCAGTGTTGAGATGAATTGTTGCTCAAACACCATGGAAACAAGTTTTTATCTTAAAGCAGGGGTGTCCGACCTCATTCACAAAGGGCCGGTGTGGCTGCAGGTTTTTATTCCAATCAAGCTGGACCACACCTGATTCCACTCATTAGATTGGTTGGTTGCAGTCTTCAAACAGTTGATCATGTGAGCTCCTTCTAGCTTGCAGCTAAATTGGCCCTTTGTGAATAAGACAGGACATTCCTGTCTTAAAGTTTCAAGATGAACACTACTAAAGCAAAATACACATTTTATTTATTCTCTTCTCATTCACTTTGTGTAATTCTGCTGTTTTCCTTTGGAAACAGCTTTAGGTAATGTGAGAAAGAGATGCTCTCCAGACCCCTTTGATTTCCTTCAGAAGCTGTGTAAACTACAGCCTTGTCTTTGCAGCCAGAGTTTACTTGCCCTCTGAAGAGGATTTCCAGAGAGATGAGCCTCAGTGACTACAGCTCTCCACCCCCGAGCTGTTATCATCCAGCAGCCCCAGTTTCAGCCCAGCAAGTTCTCCACAGAGGCACTCACTGTTTTCTTACTGTGTTTTTGCTCTTCATTCACAGGCAGTCTCAAAGGAGCCACCATTGTGGATGCTCTGGACACTCTCTACATCATGGAGATGTATGATGAGTTTGAAGCTGCCACGGAGTGGGTGGAGAAAAACCTTGACTTTAACATGGTAAGAGCGGCACTCAAGTCCTCTGACTCACCCATAGACATCAAGAAGTGTAAGAATATTTTAGAGCCTCGCTCACTGTGTGAGCATTTTCAGAAGTGAGAGACTTGCAGTTTTTCAGAAGTTGAAAATGAGGAACAGCAGTTGGGAGGGCTGTGAAACTCGCAATTCGATTCTGAGTCACATTGCCGAGATGTGAATGTGAAATTTTTAATGCATCTCCATTGTTTATGATTTTCTCCTGTTACTGTCATTAATCAATACTATTGTTAGTTTAGTTCAATTTGAATGTAGCTGAAAGTCTGGACGCTTGTTAGATCAACATCTACTCTAGCTACGTTGTATTTGGTCTTATTTGATTTGTTCAACTTTTGATTCTTTGTGTCACTTATTGTATAAAGCTCATAACAATTTTTTAAAACTGTTCGACCTGTCAATCTTTAAGTAATGCACACAGAAGCAGTGTATGTGCTAATGCCTCCTTCTACTGGAGAAACTTCAGACTGCTACATGTGCTTAAGTAAATGAATGAGTTCCAAACCACAACCATGTGCTATCCAGCTTAAAAAAGAGGTGATTATTTTGGCGTTATGCTGGAGTTGCTCTGGAATTCAGCTGTAGATGCATGTGGGAAACAATGAAGCACTACATTTTCATAATTTACCAATCAGGGCACTTATAGAAAATGCTTTGAATTTTCCTTAGAGGGTGTATTTTACTCTGATTTTCTACTTTGTATGTCTCAGTTTTACAACTCTGAAAATACTGAAAAAGATGGCGAGCCATTTAGCATCTCCTGAGCTGCTTGATAAGCAAAGCATGTTTTTATATAATATTTTATGTAGTATATCTTTGGCATAGTTTTGGGCATTTTACTTCATCTACATAAAATTTGAGACAAATTTGTTACTGCAAATGTGTGTATGAAAGAGATTCTGCATTTACGTTCCTTCAAACCAGGCTGTGCCAAAGTATTCTATTTTCTAAAGTGTCTGGCTGCACATAGAGACAGAGCACATATAGGCCAGACAGCTTAGCACTTTCCTTTGATTTGCACTGTGTGCTTCTTTGTATTGGTTTCAAACTAAAATGACAAATGTGCCAAAAAGCTGTTGCGTGGTGGGTTGCAGAACAAATAAGATTAAAAACCTGATTTAAGGTTTTACATGATTCCAAGATGCAAAACTGAACCAAAAAGATATCATAGTAGGTTAAAGCTGTGAACGGACAGGAGGGCTCCGTAACCACAGGAACTTTATGGGATCCTGGGATCCTAGTATCCACATCTGTGTGTGCAGCAGATTGAAAATTTAAATATTTGTTGTTAAAATGGTATCCAATTCCCCAGATACATTAGTTTAGCTAGTTGTTAGCAATGTTAGCTTGCCCTAGATTAGTTTGTTTGCTAGATGACCACGAGGGTAATAATAATAGTAGTTCTAATATGTAATAGTACAGCTGTACTTGAGTATTTTGCTCTTATAAGACAATAACAAGATGACAAGTTCATATGTATTTGATTCAAATCGATACAGAACAAGCAGGATGTTGATAATAGTTCTAATAATGTGCAGCCTAATCGTAGTCTATCGACTTGAGCATACTGATAACAACTTTAGCTAACATTAGATATCTGGATGACAATATTGACTAGATTACCCTACCTGGTGATTGTTAGGTGATGGTAGAAATCAGAATAAGTGATATCTGGCCATTTCTTCAGGCAGAAGTATATTTAAATAGGCTGGTGTTGATCTTTTATGTTAAAGCTTTTTCAAGACACGGTGTCCCGCTATTTCCATTCACTCTCTCAAACTTTGTGGAATGCTTACCCCCCAAGGGGCGTGGTATTCCCTCCGATGACAGGATGCTCTCTGTCTCTAAGTTTATTTTACAGTGGGGGGAAATGCAGAACCTATATAAAACTCAGATTATGATGTTTTGTAAATCAGTTTAGAATCTTTAAGTGAGAAGTGGCTTTTTAGAGTGTCAGTGTCTGTGTTCTTTCTCTTTCTAAGATCCCATCGCACAAAAGTATCATGTGCTAATGGTCCATGATACTATTAAAAAAAAATTGTTAAACACTATAAACGTCATTCTTGTTTTTCACTAGTCAGTCATTCAGTGTGGTTTGATGTGAAATGCTCTATTTCAGTGAAACTGTTTACAGTGGTGGTGATAGGAACCAGACATCCAAAGAGTTTAATGCCTCTAAAAGCTCCCTTACAGAACATTCTTATTACACAGAAAAGTTGTGAACACGCTGCCTGAGACATTTTTAAACCTCTGATGGTTTTTGGATTTGAAAAGAAAGGCCTTTATTTTCATAGTAGATATCATGACCCCTGGTTCCTCTCACCATCCCTGTAAATAAATCTGAGTCAGTGTGTTTCTCTACAGTGAACATTAATTTACATCCAAACGCTGTGAGTGATCTTGTTTGTACCAAAACTTTAAAATTGCAGAATTGTATAATAATAACTGGAACTCAGTCTTTAACATGGATAGAAGTCCAAGACATGTACATTAAATATATTGTAACAGTGATAAATGTAGAGCAGACATCGAGCAGAGTTCTCATGCTAGCACTGAGTAAGAAATAGAAAACCTGGGGCAGAGTGATTACAGAATACTTTAAGGGGGAGCAGAAATTGCTGGTGATACTCTCCACTGACTTACTCTGCTTGTTGCACTGAAGAAACTTTGATGGTGGTGGCTGGGGGTGTAATCAGTTTTCAGTTGTTATACAGTTTTCATTTCTAGGATCAAGATATAAATTTATTTTCAATATTTTATGTGTTAATGTCTTAATTTTAGAGAGCTGTATTTCTACACAGACTGTTTTAGTAGTATACAAACTAGTTTTGATCATTGATAGTGGTTATTACAAAAACTGCAAATAAGAGACCCTTGGAATAATGAGAGGCATATTTGCGACACAGTTTTACGTTCACCATAATGATCTGTTTTGAATGTCCTCAGGATAAAATTAAATATAGGAATTATTGTTAGGTGCAGTTGTAGTTAAAATATGAACTTTTGCAGTATCCCTTGACACCACATTTAGTTCCAACTTAACCCTCAAATTATTAGGTGTTTGAGACTGTTTTATTTTGGACTTCAGCATCGCTATTCCACTCTGTTTGAAAGCAGCAGATAAGCTAGTTAGTAAGTTTGGCCAACATGTGTTGCTTGTTTGCGTGCTCTGTCTCAACTCATTAGCAAAAATGACTATAAATGATGTTAGCATTCAGAGTGCCACCTGAAAGGATGTTTGAGCACCAAGCAATGAAGCAGGAGCAACATCTTCCCCTACGCTGGGCTGCAGTGTCACTCTTAGAGCCATTTCACTGCTTCAGACTTGTAAAGAAAGTCCTTTATATGCGACTGCTTGGAGTCTTTTCCACACACTCAAGGTGACCTTGGCGTTTTCAGCAGCACCCGTCAGAATGTCATTTTGATGAACTGCTGAGAAGCCGGGCTCTGTTCACGCAGTGATGTCAGAATGAAGCGACCTTCAGCACCCTGGGTGGGTGGGAGCACTTAACGCTGCCTCTTTCCAATCAGCCAGCATGACTCTGACTCATCAGTCTGAGGCTAATGCACGAGGAAACACTCAGCATCTGAGCCAACAATACCACCCTTCAAATCTCTCTCTTGAAATGTTAAAAGCACCACCATTAAGAGGGCTGCTTCTCCATGCCAGTGTTTTTCCAGCATTGCTTTTTTTACCTAAATATTTCCACTTTAGTCAGACAGGCTCTCTGAATGCCTCTCAATGTATGTATAAGATTTTAGCCAACAAAACACGCCACACAAAGGATTCTGATTTGCTTACTCCAGCTTTTTGGGCTGGACCGTGCATCCATGGCCCATCACTGTGATGATGGAGTGAAAGCTGAGCTTTATTCCTCTGTGATTTCCATTGCGGCTTATGGCTGGCTCTCTGCCCTTCAGCCTTTTTTGTAAGGCCGACCTGTAGTTAATGTGATTTAAATATGAGAGTCACTGGAGCATTTCATATGGTCAGAAGTGCACTCTACAGGAGCCGTGGTGCGACTGAGATAGGCAGCAAGGGAGAAGTGCAGGAAGGCTTAAAGCAGTCAAATGAAATCTGATGAGTCATGCTAATCAGTCAAAGCAGACTTCAAATTGAGGCGGTGCCTCAAATTAGAAGCGCCATACTGGAAATAGTAGCGCTACATATATATTTGTTTTCATTGCAATGTTCTCTCGTTTTTCCTAGTTACCCTCCATGTCACGAAACAATTTCTATTATTTATTCTTTAGCTGATCTTCTGCTGGCTGGGGATCTGAAGTGCCTGTCCAGCCCTCAAGTTCTGTGCTTTGAGAAAGTGAGAGAAAGATATTGCACTGTATGTGCTTTAATGAAGAGTATTAACAAACTTTTTAATTGAAAGGCTTTTGCTTCTGCCCTCCAGCGATTCCAACAATAAAAGCGTCTACGAAAGCCCTGGTGAATCAGTCATTAATATTCAAGATGTCTCTGGAATACTAAACAATTGGGTTCTGATGTCTGAAACCCCTTTCTTTGCAGAATAATCTTAAGCCTCACCAATGGAGTTTTGCTCTTCTTTTCGACCTGCGCCTCTATCAGTGTGCCTGAGAGCAGCTTCAGAGTGGCGTTCGTGAAAGGCCGTGAGAAGAATACAGAACGCAGAGTGCATACTCACACCAGACCTCAGAGCTTCCCTCTCAGAATGTCATTTAAAGGAATAGTTTGAGCAATCAAGACAAGTGATGTCTGAAGTTTGCTTGAATAGACAAATGTACATCGCAGGGCTGTAGTAGAGACCACCTTTGTTGGGACCAAGACGAGTCTAAAACAATGACTAGCCGAGACTGAGCCAAGACTGAGACCCAAAAACAGTCCTTTTTCGAAACAAAGCCTTAACCTTTTAAAGCCGATGCAAAAATGTGGTTATTTCTGCTGCTTTGCTCTTCTTCATAAGTCACAGGACTTCTCGATGCTGCTGTTGCAT